ACACACACAATGGAATACTATTCAGCTTTAAAAAAGACAGAAATCTGTCATTTGCCAGCAACATGAAATGAACCTGTAGGAGATTACCCTAAATGAAACAAGTCAAGCACAAAGAACAAATGCTGCGTGATTTCATTTAAGTATGAGGAATGGGCAGAAAATGATCTCATACAAGTAGAGAGTTAAAATGGGGCTAGTCAGGGGCTAAAGGGCAGGGAGAATTGGGCACATATGTGATAAATATATACATTTTCTGTAAATTAAAATACAGTCAATACATAGACACATAGACATTAAAAGGATTACAAAGAATTCTTATGATTAATTAGGATTACATATTTGAAAATCGGATGAAATTAACAAATTCCTATAGGATATCAATGACCAAAAACAGACTCAGGAAGTATAAATCTAAAACAACCAGACACCAATAAAAAAGTTTAAAAATTTGTATTGCACCCAAAAGGGCATAATGGACTGAGATGGCTTCACAGGTGAATTTCACTGAATATTTAATGAAGAAATAATACCAATTCTTCCAATCCTTCCCTCCCCCCCAGGAACTACAGAAAGGGGAAAGTCTCAACTCATTCTATGAGGGAAATGATAGATACATCTATTGTAACCGGAAGCCATTTGTTTGTCAGCAACGAAGCTGAGGAAAAGATGCTTAGGGCTGGGGATGTGGCTTAGCGGTAGCATGCTCACCTGACATGTGTGTGGCCCGGGTTCAATCCTCAGAACCACATACAAACAAAGATGTTGTGTCCGCAGAGAACTAAAAGATAAATATTAAAAAAAATCCTCTCTCTCTCTCTCTCTCTCTCTTAAAAAAAAAAAACAACAACAAAAAACAAAGATGCTTAAAAAAGCAGAAAACAGGGCCTACCAAATATCACTGGTTACAGTGGATCTTCCCTCCAAGGTTTAGCTTTTGAACTGCACTCAATAAAATAATAAAAATTGGTTTATTTTCCTTGCTATTTACACATTTACTTATTCCATAAGCTTCATAATTGATTTGGGAATGAGGCACTTCAGGGCCCAGAGAAGCTGAAAGTCTTACCTGCAGCATCTCAACTGTTGACCCTCCCAACCGACGTTCCAGATCTGAGATGACATCTTTCACCAACTGGCTCTGCTGGATCAGCTCACTTTCAGACTCTGTCAGGCTGTTCATAATAACTTCCTCCTCGTTCTTCAGCTTTTGAATCTCCTGCTCCTCCTCAGATTGGAGGATGTCTCTCAGTTTTCCAAACTCTATCTGGACATTTTCCACCTCACTCTGTATTTTGTTCTTTGGGATG